CAACTGTAGTAACATAACTGGTAAAATATATTGAAAAAAATCTGTGTGTGTTTGTGGAAAATGTGTATTTCATCACTGTTGAATGAGACATGTATATTTTTGCCAGATTCGTTTGAGCTATAGTGTTTTTCATATGTGCCAGTTTCTTACTAATTATCTGAATGCTCTAATATTGTTGAGAGTACTACATTATAGTTCTCCACTCTTATTAATTCTTTCTTATTGTTTCATATATATTTTTTTCTTTCCTTCTCTTTCTCTTACAGTCTTCCTTTGTGATTTGATGGCTTGTGGTTGTTTATTTTGACTCTTTGTCACAATCTTTTGTGTATGTACTATAGGTTTTTTCTTCGTGGTTAGCATGAGGCTTACATAAAATATCTTATACCCATCATTTTTATTTTAAGTTTATGAAAACTCAAATTTGATAATATGAAGAAATTTTATTTACTTCTCCCCACACTATATAAGGGACTGATGTAACCATTTACATCTTTGTAATATTGTGTATCCAAAAATAAATTATCATAGTTATGGATATTTTCAATGTCTCTGCTTTAATTTTCTTTGCTTGTTTTGTTGATTAGGTCCCACTTATAGGGGAGATCATATGGAATTTGTTTAGTTATGGATATTTTAATGTATTTTTAACATTTAAAGTGTAGTTGTGAAACATTTAACAGCATTACAACATTGGAGGGTCTCAATTCAATTGCATAAAATCACAAGGAGTTTTACTCATTTACATGTTTTTTTAATGATGTTGATTAACATAATTTTATTTTAGTTGGAAGAAGGCCCTTTAATGTTCCTTATAAGGCAAATCTACTGGTGATGAACTGCCTCAGCTTAGTTGTTTGGGGAAAGACTATTTCTCCTTCATTTCTGAAAAATAGCTTTGCTGGGTGTTATTCTTGGTTGACAGATTTTTCTTCAATACCTTGAATATATCATTTCTCTTTCTCCTGCCTGAAAAGTTTCTGTTAAGAAATACACTGATATGCTTATGGAGGCTTTTTACATGTAATAAGTCACTTTTCTCTTGCTACTTTTAAAATTGTCTCTTTGTCTTTGACTTTTGAGCAATTTAATTATAAAGTGAGTCACTGGAGTCCTTTTTAGTTTCTACCTACTGGGTTCATTGGGCTTCATGAAGCTGAAAGTGTATTTTGGTCCCAGAACATGGGAAGTTTTCAACCATTATTGTTTTAAATAGACTTTCCATATCTTTTGCTTTTCCCCTTTTGGCATTCTCATAATGGTCTTATGTGTTACTTGATAATGTCTCATAAATCCTGTAGGCATTCTTCACTCATTTACATCCTCAGTTTACCCTCTGACTGCAAATTTTCAATAACCTATCTTCTAAATCCCTGATTCTCTCTTCTGGTTGAGTGAGTTCGCTACTAAAGTTCCCTATTAAATTCATTAGTGATTTACTGTATTCTTCAGCTCTAGTATTTTAGTTTAGTTTTTCTTTTTGATAGTTTCCTTTTTGTTGAACTTCTCATTTTGTTCGTTTTATTTAGTTTTCTGTCAATGGGTTCTTGTACTTCACTGAACTTCTTTAAGGAAATTATCCTAAAGTCTTTGTCAGACGATTTATAGATCATCATTTCTAGGGGTAGTTATTAAAGCATATTAGTTTTTCTTTGTAGTATCATGTTTATCCAAGTCTTCATGACCCTTGATTCCTTGTGTTGGTATCAGTGCATAAAAGTAAGCAGTATCTATTCCAGACTTTAAAGGCTGACTTCATCATGAAAATGTTTTTATCAGTCAGCTCAGTTTGGAACAGAAGACAGACAGAAGACTAGGTAGCATTCATGGCAGTGTGGGGCATGTTATCAGCATCTATGTTGGAAAAGTGAATGCCTGTGCTCTGAGTTTGGTGGTTGGATGCTGGCTGCATTGTGTGGTTTTCTGGGTTTGCTGGTTGGGCTTCCTGATCAGGTCAGGCTCCTGACTGTTCTCTGGGGCTTGATGGGTCCACTTGCTGACATTTGCCATCACCTCTTGTTGGGTGATGTTTCAGGCTGTATTTTGGGGTATGGAGGTTCCACTAGTTGGGTTCTGCAATGTGTCAGGGTTACAAGCTCTCTTAGGCAATGGCTCCTGTGTGGGAAAAGTTTCGGGATATATTTCCTAGTCTGATGTTGTCTCTAGATGGACTTCCTGTTCAGTTGGGACAAGAAGAAGGGCTTCACAGTCATACTGGGACTTAGAATGTGATCTGAGATCTTGTGAGGCCAAATGTTGTTTCCTGAAGTTGTCAGAGTTACAGGCTTGGCTTCACAATAAATAAAATCGTTGGCTGTGCTCTGCTGTTGGACATGGTAACTGGCCAGATTTTCTGATTTGGTAGGGTCTCCAAATGCGTGATATAGGTGCATGAAGAGTGCATGGATGGAGACTATGGATAGAGACTATTCCATTAGTGGGCAGCATCACTCTCCTTGCTCCCTCACTGGGTGGGTTGTAAACTACACTCTATGATTGAGTGAGTTTACTGGGTAGGCTCCCTGAATGGGTGAAGCCACAGGCTGTGTTAGTCAATAGGACAGCATTATAGGGTGGGCTCTCTTGCTAGATGGAGTTATAAATCTGGCTCCATATATCACCTGAAACATAGGCTTGCTGGTATAGCTGCCAGGGTATCTGGCCAAGCATTTTAAACAGCCAGGACTGAGGCAACACTCAGCAATTGAGCAGGTCTGGCACATTTGTTTTTCCAGTTGGCCAGGGTACTAGAATGGACTCCTTGGTTGGTATGGTGTGACTTGGGATTGAAATCAGGTAAAACTGCCAACTGAGCTCTCTGGCCAGATAGTATGAGGGGCTCTACTCTGCAGAAGGGAAGAACTGCTAGTTGGGATCTCTCTTTAGGGACTGCTCTAAGCACAATGCAGTCCACCAAGGTCTGAGTGCTGGGTGCCATTAGCCCCACTTTTGCTTGAGTTTCTATTAGTCATCTAGTAGCCAGAAATCACCTAGCTTATACCTAAGCCAGGCTGCTGAATCACATGGAGATGTAATAGGGATTGTAAGTCTTGAACCTTAGATTTTGGCAGGTGGTATCAACCTCTGTCATTCCCCTCTTCACTCAAATTATGACATTCTTTTCAACTTACTATTTTTACTAAAGAAAACTTCAGTTTCAGAGCCTTCCATCTGGCCTTTCCTAGGACAGTCTTTGATATTTCCTAGGTTAAGGACTAATAGGATAAAAAACCAGGTCGGCCAACTGCTGTGTGTGTCCTGACTGTACCTCTGGGAACTTGGGAAATGACTGCTGGATGGCTGAATGGATCAAGTGGACTCAGAGTTAGGTGGACATTACCTTACCTCCATAAGTGTACTCTAACAGGTGGTTTGGGTCTCCAAATGTGAACTGAGACACTGTATTAATAACCTTGACATTTTCTATATATTTTCTTTGTTTTGAATATGGGTGCTTGAATAAATGGCCATAGGCCCCTTTGGTGAAGAACTCAGGGAATTACTACTGTGTACATTTGCACCCTCCTTTCTAATGAAAACTGCCCTCATTTCCAACAATAGCTTGTGGAAGAAGGATTAGCTGAGGTCTGTACAGTAGGCAAGGAATGTTGAATTTTCTTTCAGGCGGTACCTGACCATCTGATCATCTTTTAAAAATGTCTTTTGGTGGAATATATGTCCTGTAGGCTGCTCTGCCTTGTCTGTGAGAACACCACCCTCCAGGAGCTACTTCCTTAGACATCTATGGGTCAGGGTCCCTGGTTGTCATTCTAAGCTTGCTGCTCATTACAGAGATTACTTATCTTTCTCTGATAACTGAGTGCTGCCACCTGGCTTAAGTTACTCTGGAATACTATCATTTCCTTTTCTATGAGGGAATCCAGCTCTGTACATGATTTCTACATTGTTCCAGCCTACAGAGGACAGTCCCACCTGAGCATGTTAAGAGTGCATTCCTTAAGCTCATTAAGCTGGTGTCTCTGAGGCCTCCTGAGGGCACAGTCACCTGAAGGATGGGTTTTCAGCTGTAGAGAGTAGAGCCGTGCCATCTTCCTAAGGCTTCTGAGTGCCTCAATTCCATTTTGCTGGCCCTGGCAAGTCTAGTATACCTTCTTTCACTTTATCTAGTGTGCATGGTGTTTTATAGCAAGGCACTAAGAACCATCAAGAATCATTGCCTTTGGAACTTGCCTGGCTAATTGGTCTCTGTGGTTCAGGAGTGTTTGCCTGTACCAGCAGCCTCCACTACCAATCAGTGAATGGTACCTTGTAACATTGTATTCCCAGGATCCAGTCCCACAAAAATCTCCTAGTCCTGAAGCTCTGCTGAACTGTTCAGCCTGCAGTCTTCTCTCTTATATTCCTAGTTTCTTATATACCTGAGAGAACTGTGCATAGTCTTAAATGAGGGGTATGAAAGGAGTCTCTACAAAAAGGGAAAAGGGATCATTTTGCAGGTCTCTGGGATTAGAGGGATCCCAAGTTCAGAATTCAGGTGCATCCACCTAGAAAACCCCATTCTGGGTTTCAGGGCTTCATGCTTTCTTTATCAGGGCCTTGCCTTTGACTCAAGAGGCCACACTGAGCTTAGAATTCAGTCTTCTCTGAAGTTCTATCATTCCTAAAATTAGGGGCTATGCTAGGCCTTCCTTACTGCCTACCTTCTAGCTATAGGTGATAATCACTATATATAAGCCCATCATGTACTCAATATTTAACATGAAATGGCCACTAAAAATACAGTTCTAATGGTTACTATTTCTCCCTTTGTGAATGCTAGACAATTGCATCAGGTAGTATACATCTTCCCCGGTATCACATTCAGTTTCTGAAGGTAAATGTTTTGGAACCACTCTGTTTGAGCACCCCAGGTACTATCAATATTCTGCCTGGAATAGTCTGGCTAGACAGTGTTCCAACTCAGTACTCCATGCCTAACGGCTGGCTTGCTAAAACCATTATGTTAAGGTGGGTACTGAAAAGTAAAGCCTGAGATAAAGTCTCTTGAATACCTGATTTATTGTTAGAATTCTCTCAGGAGGAGGAGGGTAGGGGATACAGGATACCGTGGAGGAGAAAGCTAAGCAAGGATGTGGTCATAGCTGGACAATAGCTCTAGCCTGAGTCCCTGGAGGACATGGAAACATAAGTCACTGCACATAGTTGTTTCAACCTTGTGGATGGGAACCAACCCCCAGGCCAAAGAAATGTAACTTTCAGGTGATTATGGATCTATTTGCCGAAAGCAATGCACATTGGGGAGAGGTGACATCAGCAGCCAAGCTCATAGCAGCAGAGGGATAAGAAATCTTTCAGAAAGCAGTGTGCTGTTTCAGGGTGCCAAGAGCATGCACTGTAGCAGTGCACTGTTCTAATTTGTTTCATGAATAGTGAAGACCTTTCTGAAATTCTTCATAAATTCTTCCTGGTTTAAGTGTAACTTCTCACACTACAAGAAAAAAGAGACAAAAATAATAATACCCATTATCATTCTCGTTAGACACCTTGAAACTGAGAACTATCAGGACTCTTAACCAGGTGAAGTTTAAAAACACACACACAGCTAAGAGTAACTTGTTTTCTAAGAGCATGATTACTTGTTAATGACTAAACAGAAATTGAAAATCACCACTATTCTTAAGGACTCTTACTCCGTAGGTTTGTGTTGTCTCTTTAAGTGAGAGATAAAAAAGTAACCTAAGATCTTAGAAACAATCAAATATCACAGATGTCTAAGTACAACCAGTGATCTTCCTTTCATGTTGACACTTCTATTCTCCTTTGGTCATTCTCTCAACCACATGGGGAATCACTTGCGAAGGACTCTGCATTTTAGGACTTCTGAGAGGTCTCATTAAGTATAAATGGGGAGTGATAAGAGGAATAATGTGACTTTAGTCTCCTTTGTAGGTGTGGGGGAAGAAGGATGTGATTGTTCTCAATGGGCACCTGTTGCCTTTACTGAAGCTCTCAAGGGGTTCTGGATGTAGGCACACCTTCTGACTCATAGTTCTTCTCCTTGGTGAGCTTAAATCCTTAATGTAAAAACCCACTCACTTCCTGAACTCTTGCTCATCCTGGCAAGATCATAAAACATGAGGGAAACTCTAAAAAGTCCCCAGCACCAGAAAATGAGAGCAGAGAGACTCATGGAAAGAAAGTGCAACAAATGCATGAGAGCCACTTACCCTGGGATCCTGAAAAACTTTGTCCATGGCCTCCTTAAAATCTTTCACTTTGCAGTAATTTTCCTTGGTTAGTTTCTTCTTAATTATGTCCAACTTCCTAAGTTTTACTAGGTATTGAGAAGCCGTTGTAACCTGGTGCAAAATATATCAGTAGCAATCAACAGGAAAGTTTTTGACAGAGTTCAATGTCTTCTGTGGATTCCCACCAAATCCATCAGAAATCCAAGGTCACAATAAAGTAGCTCATGCTCTCCCTCCCAGGGGCTTCAGATCATAAATCCCACAAGTGCCCGTGTCAAGGGCAGGTAATATCATGGTGGTCTGTATTAATTTTTTGTTGTTACTCACATAATTTTCATGTGGAATATTTGGGAAAATGTTGCTCTCTAAATGGTGATAGACCTTTAAGAGAAGGAACTCACATTTCTGCAAAAGAAGGAGGCAGTGAATGAAAAACAGCTTGGAGAGAATGAGCCCAGAGGCATGCCCAGACACATGCAAGAAGCCCACATCAGTCTTCTGGAAGGTTCCCCAAACTGGTATTGCTCTTGACACTAACAGGTAATGAGTGTTTTTTTTTCCTGCAAATAGTTTCTGGTGAGTTTTCAGTGTGGCCGAGACACATTCAGATGAGTCATCTTTTGAAACCCTCTCTTCTCATCCTATGCCTGATTGACTTTTTACATGTGAGCAGAACAGAAAAGGTTTGGGGTCAAATTCAACTCACCAACTTTTCATGCCCCATCTGCTTTTCCAGGACCTCAGATTCTCTGTAACACTGCAGACTTCGGGAAGAATTTTCTATTGTACAGAAGGTACAGTTCCAACCATTCCTGAGATGTAAGATATAAGTGAGAAAGGGTAAAGCCCAGAAACAGACACCATCACTATAGCTGTCACTGTTCTCTTTAAGGAATAGCCAGTAGGCACAGACTGGGGCTGAAGGGGACTGCTTCTGGGGCTGCCAGAATTCTCATGTGATACCTATAGAGGGTAACCACAAGGGGTGAGTGGGTGGAAGGCTGAGTCAGGGTAGGTGGTGGGCTCACCTCTCCCTATCTGAGCTGCTGGGACACACACAGGAGCCCTGACCATCAACCTGAGCACCAGAGACTGGACTTTAACCCTTGGGGACCTTAGGCTTTCATCATGCGGTTGAAATGTGGTGAAATGAGGAAAACAGGCCATGTTTTCTTCCTTTTCTGAAGGAGCCCAGAATACAAACAATAGGCATCACCACTCCCATGAAAAGGAGTCTGTGCTGGGAAAGTTCTGGAAAGGACAGTAGCAGTGTGTTGGCCAAGAACCCAGCCTCTGGCCCCTGCTCCCCAGAGGAGAGAAGAGAACAATAACTCCTTGATGCTAGATTTTTTCAATAGCTCCCAGGATCATGCTGCTGGACCCTGTACCTCCAGCCCCACTCTGACCCCATTAGGAAACAAGGATGAACCCCGAAGGGGGAGGGTGCATGGCAGGAGGATTGGTCTATGAAAGGAGACAGAGGGCTGCATCTCACAAACCTCTTTGTGTTCACAGGTGGGAGGTGACAATCCCCATGAAAGAAGCTATGACAATTTTCACAGCAGAAGAGCTTTCCTCCATCCTGGCATATCTTGCATTTGTCTGACTTTTTCTCCTAGAAGGTAAAATAATGTTCACATTCCCATGGGCTCCTGATGACAAGCACTGTGGGAATCTAGGACTCACAGTCTTTGTGTGAACCTGCAGGGACTCTTATGTGTTTCTCTGAGCTGTGAAGGGGCAGCATGGAGTGGCTGTTTCAGAAGAAGAATTCTTGGTCTGCTGTGAAGTTCAGAAAAAGGGGCCTGTGTGACCAGACTGGAGAAGTTTTTCTCCTGTAAATCCAGAGACCAGCAACAAAAGAAAAAAGCAAACATAATATAACCAGAGACATTGAAATTGAGAACAATCTGACAATAGACAGAGGGTAGGGGGTGGGGAACAAAGTGGGGATACTATAAAGGACACATAAATAAAACCAAGGGGAAGGGTGGACGCAAAAGACAGAGGTGGGTTTCGTTGGAGTGGGGAAGAGTGGTGGGGGGAAAATGCAGACAACTGTAATTGAACAACAATAAAATAATTAAAAAAACAAAACAAAAAACTAGAGATCCCAACACAGAAAGGCAATGAAACAAGGATTTCATGGGAATTCAAATCATCTTATTACCTTGCAGAAATATCAAGTTTCTGAAACACAATGATAAATCCTTATGCCTACACACAATGCCTGAAATGAATCATGGAAAGGTGGTATGTTGGGGAATCAATAAGGTGGAATAAACTTTCTGTTTTCTTGGCTGTAGGCTCCCCCTGAGTGGAAGGGCCTGGTAGGGATTTCTGCACTATGGATTCTGGGCCTGGAGGGCCTCTGGCCCTGTGACATTGCCTTTGGTTTGGGAAGACCCTGGACACAAATGACCATGTCTTGCCAGGGAAGATGGAGCTCTCTGATTCTGGAAGCCTGAGGAAGATGCCCCAGGACTCAGCGTGGCATGTATGGTGTGGATCCTCCATCTCTGAGTGTCCAGAGAGTGTGGCAAGTGCTTTGTGCTGTAAACAGAACAGGGAGCTCTCTCCCAACCTACACACAATCAACTGAAACTGGATTTCTTACCAGTCTCAATATGTGTCCTTTAACCAGATTTAATTTCACTTGGAGAAGATAGAATTTGATAATATTTTTATCCAAGTCTTGACTTTTATTCATTAAACCAAAATAAATTAGCACAGCAGATATGAAGATACACTGTGTTATATGCAAACATGTGTACCTGTGACAATGAACTGACCCGTGACTGAGCTTTTTATTAATGAAGAAAACACAGTGTAAGGAATAATATTACAGGTCAATGTCAGGTGCTACTATAATATCTGATAACACTGAGATGGCCTCGGACAGCCTATCTGCACATTCCTCTCCCCACTCTATTTCCATAGATAAGGTCCTACAGCTAAATAATGCTCCTTGTCACCATGGATCCTGCACATCCTGGAATATCAGGTTTCAGTTTCCTGTGTGCCATGGAATCTTTGACACAAGCCAGCCACAACTTCCCATGAAAACCAGGGGGCCACACCACACTCTGCAGCCCCTCATAATCCACTTGGTTCCTGGAGGTGATCTCGGTAAGGCCTGAATGTCTGCCACTGACCTACTTTCTTGGTTTTGGAGTAGATGTGACTAATAACACCTACCATCCAACTGTGCTGTGACAGATGTTATTAGTTGTCATCCCTTCAAATTTCTAGTGCATATCTCTCACCAGTAGGGTGAAGAAGAGTGTGATTAAAGCAGAAACCTACTTAAAAAAATGAAAACCAGCATTTACAAAAGAAGAACAGACTTTTAGGAACTGTATAAGCTCGTGGTTGCTTTCCTGGTTCTGCCTTCTGAGAGAATGAAGAAGTTTGAGAACCTCCTGAATGAAGAAGGTTGTTCTCTCCCAGATAGAAACATCCTGTCTATCTCATGGTCTGTTGGAGAAATTCTTCCCCTCCTGTGACCATCTGAGGTGACATAAGTGAGGTTGGCTCGGGGACTGGCCCTCCCATTGATGATGCTGGTAGGAGGGAAGTGGGCTGTTGAAGAGCAGGAGGAGGCAGGAATGACAGCATTCACCTTTCTCTATTGTGATCCTTTCTGCTTACTCCAAATGCCTGTGCTCTGTGCCATCTTTCTCCTGAGGTTACTCCCTTGACTCACTGATATGTGATGTTATCTTCAGTCTTTCTCCTCCAACATTTAGAAAGAATACTCCAGGTTATCATTTTTGGCCATTGAGTTGGCCCCAGAATGTTAAATCACTCTCAAAGCTCCAGTTACATCGCTATGTCTCTAGTGCCCTTATGTTCATCCTGCCTCCTGCCTTTGTGCACATCCCTGTGCTCTCCCAGCATTTCATCCTGGGCCCTAAATCACACACCAAACTTATCCAGTCAAAACATAATGTATTCTCTTTCCACAAACCACTACACATTCTTTCCTGGTGCTTCCTTCTCATAAACACACACTTTCAAGAACAAACATGAGCATCCATTCTGAGTCCAAATTCTTGCTTGATCCCCAAATCCAATGTATCTCCATTTCTTCTCATAGTAAAATATAAGCTTTTTTGTTGTTGTTTACGTTAAATCTATTGTCCCCATAAGGTGCACTGCAAAGAGGGAAGCTGAGACCTTAAAGAATGCTTCCAGCTTAATACATAAAAGAGGGGTGTGTTTCTCAAAGTCTGTATTATATCTCTAATAACAACACACGAAGATCAGAAATGTCCTTGAAAGCATTGAGCAGAGTAATTTCGAACATAACTATGTTATTTTTCTGAATTTAGAAAATAATAAAGGATAAAAAGTCACTAAAAATCATTCCGAACCTTCTTTTGGGATTTTGGATGAAAAGTCTTACCAGAATCAGGAGTCTGGTCATTTGTTTTACATCTGTATATGAGAAAGTGCAAGTGTGAAATGACATCTTGCCAAGAGCTGCCATTCAGTGTTCTGGGAGAATCCTGAATCACATGCCCAGTGTGGGGCTGAGACTGCTCCAGCATGGAAGGCTGGGGACAGTTTCCTTCTCCCCAGTGTAGGACTCACAGATTAACATCATCACTCCCCAGAAAGTGGCCACCCTCTTCTCAGAAGACCAAGGAAGTAACAAACATAACCAGTGCATAAAAATCTTGCATTCATACGTTTTAATCAAGACTAGCTCCTATTTCTTTGGCTCTTGTTCATTAGCCCAGCCATACATTTGAATTGTCTGAGGATAGTATATGAAATAATAATGTCTTGGTCCCAATGTCAGAGATTCTGATCAATTGATTTGGGTGGGGCTTAGGCATTGACATTCTTTTTAAATTGTATAATGAATAACTTGTGTATGAAAATCATCTAGAGACTATTTAACAGTTCTAACGTCCAAGTGATAACTTAGAATGGTTAAGTCAGACTTTTGTGTAGAGTGAGACTGAAGCAATGTTATTTTCCAAAGGTCTTCAGGGGATTCCAGTAGAGCCTAAGTTGAGATTTAGCCTGAGCCAGTGTGGTTATTAATGCATGAGAATCTTGTAAGTCATTGTTAAATTGTCCTGTAATATCTATCCTAAATATCGTTGTTATCAACAGGAGTGAGGGTACTCTTGCTGGAGCAGGTGCTTTCTCCTCCTGACAGACTCTTGGCTACTGGAAGTATGACAGAACCCTCTGGATTGCCATCTCTTATTGAGGGCCTGAGAACCATGCACATGTCCCAGTGAAGTCCAACAGCTCCTGCAGCTCTTCTAGGACACCACCCTAATGGTAAAATGAATCCTAGGTCCTCTGTACTCCAATTCTTCTTCCAGAGGGCCACCCCCCTGTCCATTCATCACATCCTGAGATGGCACCTGGCTGACTTTTCACAGGAAACTGACCTCTGCACACTACACTTGCAGTGCTTTTGTACCATCAGTAGAATGACTTTGCCTCCTTCCCTTCAGGCAGCCTCAGCTTTTATCTCACCCAGGACAGAGAGGACATAGACTAATGTGCCCCACTGGAAACTGACCTGAGAGATGGTCATGTCACAACCTGTCTCTTGGGTACTCTACAGTCCCTGCTCCCCAGTAGTTATGTTTAGATGGTAGATAATTGAATTTGAAACAACCCTTGAGCCCAGGAATATCATTTCAGTATTATTTGTGGACATTGGGCATTTCTATGCATTCAGTAACTGTGTGTTGAATGAATAAATAAATGAGTATTGTTTCACTTAGGAAAAGAGAACATTTGTTTGTTATCTTTTTAGCAAATTAGCATATAATAAATGGTTGTTCTGGCTGATTATTTCAGATTACATGACAACACACAGCAGCTGTCACCTGAAAGTGTAAGTGGCCCTCATCTGATGACAGAAAGCTGTCCTGTGGTGCCAAAATTGACACTGAAGTTTCCAGGAACCATGGGCTCCATCAACAAGAGAAGTTCTGGAAGATACAGAGGATCCGCCAAGGTAGTAATGCATCCTGAGATCTGCCACTGAGAGTCACTTTGGTTCTTGATGAAAAGACACAAAATATATGAAAAATTGAACCTGGTTGCTACAAAGTGTTGCACCCATAGATAAGGATAAAACCTATGGAAAGGAAGTTGCTAGCTTCTTCAGGCAATTCAGATAAAGTAGCTCTAGGCACATGGAGAATGATAGAAATTTCATAGTAGTCACTGTCTAGGTCCAACAGTAACTTCTCTTTACTAAACCCAGTGGGTGAAATGTCCCAATGTCTGAGTGTTCAAAAGACCCAGAACGTCAGGTAATGTAAAAGCCTGGGCCTCACATTCCCAGTGCTAGATGAAGTCCCAGCGGCCAGCTCTCTGTAAGCTAATATAGAATTCTGTGAATGTCCTGGGTGGCCATTTCTACCTGAAGTGTGTGAAGTGGCACCTCACACCTTCCCCTCCTTCTCAAGTTCTCATTCATTCCCAAAGTTGTAAAAACTACCACTTTGTCCTGGATCTGCATTCATATTATGTGTGTTTGTTGCCTGCATAGCCTTCTTCCACAGAAGGAGAAATAACTTTCACAGGTGGAAAGAAGGCCTGCACAGACCCTGAGGTGGAGCTAAAGGAGGGCATCAAAGTAAACAATTTTCCAGGTCTGTCCCTCACTTAAGCTACATCTATCTTTAAGGGTCCCTCCACAACAGCACCATCCTCATGAAAAATTTGCCAATAACTTCTGCTTGAGAAAAAATTCTGATTGTGTGTATATTTTATTGAAGGATGAAAGAGTATGTAAGTAATCAGAGAAGAAATATGCTCTTTTATCTCATGAAGTAGTATATGGTTTCATATCTGTCTCAAGGTAGATGATCTATTAGATGGGTTCATCTGGATGATGGGGAGCAAACATTTTTTCATTAGATTTCATTAAAGTTAGAAAATAGTAACCTTTATCAAAAAATCTGGGATTGACCTGATGATTACCCTATGACCTTATTAAGAAAGGTTTTCATATATTCCATAATCATGTTTGCATTTACAACTTTAACAACTTTTCAACATCTTCATCTGTAGCTATAACTCAGCTGAGATCTGTTTTGATGGCTCCTTACCATCCCCATCTGAAATGGTTTACAATTCAAGACAACCTTGCATACAACCTGATGTTCAATGGGGCAATTCTGAAGGCACACAAAATACACACCCACATACCTACATACATATGTACATAGGTACATAAATAAAATAAAGGCACAGGAGAGGAGAAAAAGAAACAAAGTTAATTATGCAACTCAGAAACCATAAAGATGATGTAGTACATATACAATTACATATGAATAAGAACTTGTATAAAATAATAATCACCTTGTTTTTGATTTCACGTGTAATGGGAGGTGAACGCATACATCCAAGCTGAAAGATAAAAAGATCCAATTTGATGCTTAGCCTGTGTTTAAGTTTTGTGAGTCTGGCATTCCAACCTCCTTATGAATATTTGTACACAAATGTCAAACTGTCATCTCAAAGCCCAGCTGTCTAACTGAGGAACCATCTTCCTCTCCTCAGATGTTCTTCTATCCATCCACAGAACCTAGAAATACATCATGGAAAGTATTTCCTTGCTTTTGTGCTTTTTAAAATAACTTTTCAGAGGTTTTCCTTCACAATCTCTTTGGCACCTCTGACCCCCTCTCCATTCCCACCAGTGCCACTGAGACCTGCCTGCCTCCTCACACCTGGGCTATATAACTGACATGCACAGGTCCCACACCTACAGGGTGTCCCTCCCTCTGAACAATGTTGAGCACATAAAGGACAAACCCTAGGGGGGTCTATAGAGGCAAAGGAAATGTGTGGAAGTATAAGAATAAGAGTGTGAGAAGGGCCTTACTTGAAAGTTCAGGGGGCCCAGGTAAGGGGTGACCAGGGCAGGTCAGTCAGGGAACATTCAGACAGGAGTGACTGGGGAGTTAAGCCTTGCAGGTTGACTATACGTTTCTTGGTCTGAAAGACAGTGAAGTCAGTTCAAGTCCCCACGTTGTCTGAAATACTGTTTTAATTATGTCATTTCACACCCCAGGAGACTGTGGTTCTGCCCTGTCCATGTTACAAGTTCAAACTCTTTAGCCTGACATTTAACCCCTCTGCAAACAATTCCAATTGATGGATTATGCTGTATCACACACAATCCATCTACCTCAACTCACAGAGTCATGGTGACTGTGGTTCTGGTGTTTACACTGCTCTTTCTCTGGAGTGTGTTCTGCCCACTTGTTTGATTGTAAACAGTCTTCTTACTTTTATTGCCAAAAGTTGTCTGCAAGCACCTGGGTCAGAACGACCTTCCCCGCCACCAAGCCCCTGCAGCCACCCTGACAGAACCCCTTTGACAAATGGAAGGGTTCTCTTATACTTAGGTATGAATGTGGGGCACCTCTTCCTGTGAAAAGGTTAAAGTCCTGGGCCTCAAGGCTGCAGCCACAAGTCACCATATGTTGGGTGAGCAAATAGTGACCTCATCTTTGACCACAACAAAGGAAGTCACACCTTCTGGCCCCTGTCACTGAAATACCTCCATCAGCCGTTTTAGGGTTTTTCCACCACAGGTCAGGCTGGTCTTCCAGTTACTTGCTTTTTCGTAGCCTCCTCTGACTTCAAATTCCTTGGGGGTGAGCCAGTTTCCATCCTCAGTTCTTATGCACTTCCTCGTGGCTCCTGTAAGATCAGGTACATTGATCCTGGCACCTCTTTGTCCTCAGTGCTCAGAGGTTGGCCTCCCATCACTTTGGATCTGATGTCACCCATCTGGGTTCAAGGTCAATAGCAGAAGCCTCTGGCCTCCCCTTCCATACCTCAGAACCCCCAAACCTAGCTTTTAAGTTCCCTCCAAAGAGATTTGCTGCTTTGAATTAAAATCTCAAGTGGGGCCCTGGAGCTCACAATGGCACTAAGGCAACATCCATTTACTGTGTTACAACAGTTTTCTTTGACTTTACCAACATTGTTGAGCAGATATTTTTCCATCCTTGAAATCATGAGTAGCTGATACTAAAATAATTGTGAAATATGAATCAGTAGAAAATTTAACTGATATGCAAAAGATACCCATATACTTAACAACATTATCATTAGATAAAAAGAAATTAAACCACAATGAAATATTACAGTCTAAGCACTAGCATGGCCACTACAAAAAGACAGACAATAGCAAGTGTTGGTGAGAATGCAGAGATTGGATCTCTCAGGGAATTAAACCGGTGCAATATTTTTTAAAATACTTTGTTTTATTTCTCAATGAGATAAATACAGAATTACTACATAATCCTTCAATTCCACTCCAGGGTATATACTAAAAAGCATCTTAAAAATATGTTCACAAAAACACTTTATAAAAACAGTATTATTCATGATAGCTAAAGAATGAGAAAACCCTTACTGAAGGATAAATGCAATATTGTATATCCATATTATGGCTCACATATGACAATAAAAAAGAATGAAATATAATACATGGCGCTGTGTGTATGAACCTTGAGAACTTCATGCTAAGTGAAGGAACCAGTGACAGAAAGGCAGATGTTATGTGAGTCAATTGCGATAAAATGCTTAAATATGCTGATTTATCCATAGAAGATAGATTAATTGTTGCTTAGTGTGGGCAATGAGCTGGGGTGGGAATGGGCACTGACAGCTGACAGGCATTGGGTTTCCTTTAGTGGGGACAAAATGTTCTAAAATTATATTGTGATGATAGTTTTATAATCTTATGAATGGACAAAATTAAAAAAACAGTGAATTCTACACTATAAATGGTGAATTATACATATGTGAGTTGTATCCCAGGGAAGTTGTTTAAAAATAGTTATGATACAAATATTTATATATATTAGTGTTCTTGTAATCATATTAAAATAATCTTATATGAAGTTCATCATATATACAATAAGTGAAAAGTTTTATAGTGTTAAAATCACAAAACACTTTACATTCATATGCAAACAAAATCTCAAAGTCACAGCAGGAGGCAGGCTCGTAATTATTTTCCATTTCTTAGATGGGAAGTTTCAGGCTCAGGAAGGTCCCAGGCTTCACTCTGTCACTCTCAGCACAGCTGAGGCTGGGATCAGGTTTTTCTGATTCTAAACTCTGTGGTCTCCTCACTGCATCTAACACCCCGTCCTGGTGGTGATTACCCAGATGGGACACAGGATGTGAACATGGAGGCTGAGGGCCTCTTCCCTGTTCTATCTGATTCAGTGTAGAAAATGCAGTATTTTCCACCCAGAGACTGACAATCCTGCACTTCTCTTTGGTTCTTTGGGCATCCTCATGGGCACTGCCACGTGGGGGTAAGCACTTAATATGCACCACTGTTTATGGTGTAAAACTATCATCTTAGGGACCCCTTCCTTCTTTCAAGCCACAGTGAGGCCTCAGTTCCTTGAATGACAGGAAGTTCACATGGGTTATTCCATTAGTTCATGTAATTCCTTCACAGAGGGGTTGCCAATTAAAGTAAAGCTTGAAACCTACCTCGTTCCAGTTTCCTCTTAATTAACAGCCCCCTCATCTCCCCACAGTCCACAGGAAGTATTTGAGCACGAAAATTCACAAACATGCCCAGCTGCTGTCTTGCACCTGAAAGAGAGATTTTTCATTCTGTCTCAGTTAACAATTGTACATGGAGAACTTCCTACCATGTAGTTATTGTTTCTACAAAGGTACAGGGGTACTAAGGAAACTTTATTTCACAAATCTCCAGAGTTTCAGAGCTTTTCTTTCAGTGACATTTTTGGTACATAACCACAGAAAGTCTACCTTCATTACATCTCTCAAACCCCCCATAGTCAGAACGCTTTAGCAGAGACACCATGTGCCAGTACAACTGTCTTAGCTCCCCATGCAGTCAGCCCCCTGATTCTTACATGGCAGTGACACTGCTGTCCTGGTAGAAGGCAGCTCTGTAGCTGGGCTCTTTCCCTGCACTTAGGTCACTGGAGGCAAAGTCCCAGACTATGCCTGCCTCTTCCTGTGTGAGCTCTGAATTTTGAGCAGAGAGGACAATGATGGGGTGAACTAATGGAGATGGTGTCTGCCTGCTATTTGTGTTCACTGCTTTGCCTTATTTCTCCCCCAATCAGCTTTCTCCAAATCTGAAAGGGAGACTCAGAAAGTTCTAGACAATCTGCAAATTGCATGGGTGTCTAGACCATTTGTAGTCTGACAATGCTGTGCCCGCTATCAAAAGCTGTACCCAATGCTCTGACCATCTAAGTCTAAGACCTCATCTTCCCTTGTCCACACACTTCTCTGTTAGGGCTCTTTGGTCACTGAAGGCAGCTGTCCCCAAGGAAGGCAGAAAGGGACCAGCTTCTTTCTGCATTGTGATCAGGATAAAAGTGAATGGGGGGATTAATGGTGTTAGAGAGAACAACTCTGAAAAATTCTGGATTCTGCTCTGACCCTTGCTGGGAATGATGCCTCATTCTTTCCCCAACCAGCCTGAAAAGTGGAGTCATTGGAGTGCCCAGATGATTCAGATTTAGTTTTTTTTTTTATGTGTTTTTGGAAATGCCTTTGCCCTTTTTATGTCTGACCCTTCTGGATGAAAAATCTGAGAGACAATAGATTATTGGAAAGAAAGATAAAGCTGGAGCCAGTGGAATAGTACACACAGGTATCATAACATTGAAGGAAGAACAAAGATCCAGGCACCTGAGGAGGAAACACCTAGAAAGGTATTGGAGGTGGAGAGGCCTTACTGATATCTGACATTCAGAGCTGCCCTGAGTCATCCCTAGAGAATGAAACCACCTGGTTCCAGTCTTTCACCACGTGAATGCTGAGTCTGCCACTCAGCATCTGATCCAAGGAAATACAGGCTGGTGCCAGCATCTGAAATCCCATGCAGAATGTCTCTGGGCAATGTCCCCCACATAGATTCTTAGTCATTTGGTGGAGGGCTATGAAAAGAACAAATGTGACCTGGCTGGTGTCATGGACATAAGAGGCAGATTGGATAGACGGTCCTTAGCCAGTGACCTTGCCCCCATCTTGCCCCGTTAAAAACTAGAAACAATGAACAGAAGCAAAAATTATAAGACCTATAGCTGACCAGTGGCCCAGACTGGAGAGCATGTCTGTCCCCTCACCTCCTAACTGATGTATATGCACATCCTTACAGACCTCGACAGTGGTGAACACTTCCCTTTCAGGGCACTGTGTTCTCTTGTCTCTCTGATACAAACATGGTGACTTGCACCATAAGAGTGATCACAAAATCTTAAAGCAATTACAGTAGAAGGGATTTGGTAAACACTGAAGGAAACAAATGAATGGATTGGGTCTCAGCCACCACTGGTGATATTAATTAGAGTTGCTGGTGGAGTGGTGTCCTCCTGGGGATACTGCAAGACTCTGTTATGTGGGTGAGCTTGTTGGGAGGTAATTTTCTGTGGCATTTCCATGTGTCTCAGGGTATCTTTTCAAGGAATTTTGATTTAATAAACACTGTTGCAAGCTGGAGTTAATGTTGTTACCTGATCAATATAAAAGAGAGAACATCTCACTCCTGAAATATTCAGGGTAGTGAATTGTTCCTCCTCTCCCTGGGGGAGAGCTCCTAAGTTCCAGGGTGATGGTCACAAGAAAATACTTTAATCATAACTCTTAATATTTGTGTATCTCATTGTAAATGATACATTTCATGTCAAGAGACAAAGAAAAGCACTGCAGAAAAGCATTGCAGTCTAGTTAATACTCTGCATGCTGAAGAGATTGGAGAGAAATGTACTGATGCCTTCAGATTGAAATGTTTCAAACCTGAGGATGGTTAGTGGATGGATAGGGAAATGGATAGATGGACAGAAATGTGATAAATTGAGAACAGTGAGTGTTAATTTTGCATTGATGGGAAAGCATTCTGATGTTTATAGTAAAATATTTCAGGTTTTCAGTGGCCCTAAAATTTTCACAACTTGATAGTAGTTTTTAAGCAAAAAATGACAGATGAACTACAAAGAAGAAATCATCACCCATGCAATACGTTCTGAAAGACAACCAGTAACCATATTGGCATACTGAAGAGGTATTTCTATTTAAAAATTCTTTCAAATTGAAGGCAAATTTGCACATACAGCAGTGGCAGGTCTGCCACATAGACAGCCTACTAAAATAAACAGGTATTAATTCCACTAGACACAAAGTAAAACCAAAGGAAAGAAGCAATGATAAGTGTATAATATGATGAAACTTCTTTTGAAGAAATAACGACTACAAAATGACAATAGTTTCAAAATTTATGACTCAAAGGAAGTAACAAAATGTTAAACAGTAATGATGGAGATTAGAGGTTCTATTGAGAATATTCATGCTGAGATCCATGACACCTTTTGAGATTAGGGCATAGTTGCAGAGATTGCAGAAATTCTATCTCCAATTTCTGAACCAGAAGAGAAATATGATGGAATATGGAATTATATATCTCAATCAAGCAGAATGAGGAAGAAAGACATAAAAAACCCAAAAGAAATGGTTAACAAGAATATAGAATATCTAAGTCCACATATATCAGGAATCATAATAATAATAATAATAAAACATATTAAAGGATCACATTTATCAGAGAAGGTTGCAAGAGGGAAAGTGTCATTGTGAGGTATAACATAAAGTGCATAGGGGGACTTAATGAAAAGGAAGTGAAAAACATAAAATTAGTGTAACAATATTCCCACTCTGAATAAAGATTTGAAAGCAAAAAGCATTAAGAAGGATAAAGAGGAACACTCTGTAATTATAAAGAAGAAATTCAACTAGGTAATAGCAGTCAGGAATAACCTCAAAGTATTTCAGGTAAAAAAAAGAACAAGGGGGAATTGTCAAATATGCAGTTAAGTGGGAGCATTTAATACATCTCCATATGATATGATGGAATGTGTACAACCTAATTTACTGTGCATCCAGGATATTAAACTACCAAGTTGTCCTTCATGAAGAAAATTTATATGGGGAGAAGCCAGGTCACCAAAATAGTTCAAATTTGCATAATTTTAAAGGGACAGAAAACATTTATAAATATTGGTCACACATGAGATTCCAAAGGAACTTTCAACAATTTTTTAAGATCTAAAAGTCAATTCTTCATATTGTATTACAGCTATCCACTTTTAATTCCTCGTGTACTAACAGAACATCTGCATTCTTGGAGATGTCAGAGTCCAGACAAAATACCATAGTTCATAACCTCACTGATAGCTGGCAGGACCACCTGTATCGGATGTGATGAGTAAGATGTGGGAAGTGGGGAACTCTAGGAAAGCCTCTCACAAGAGGGACAGACCTCTGAGGGAAGGTAGAGCTTGCTCTTCTCTGTTTCTCCTAAGGGCCTAGAGCATGTCTAGGTGGCTGCATTCAGCAGGCACCTTGGACAATGACGTGATCTTCAAAGTGGCTAAACAGAAAGAAAGAGGAAGCTTCCAAATACACAGGGCCTAATACAGCTAAAACCATTTGGGAAAAGAGAACGGAAATTATAGATCTTAGTGCATGATTTTAGGACTTATCATAAAGCTGTTGTAATCAAGAAAATAGAATATTGACCTGAAGATAGACATGTAGGAAAACAGAACAGAAAAAGAAGTAGAGAAATACATCCCTAGTTGTACGGCCAAATGACTTTTAGCCATAAGCCAAATTGTCAAAGCAATTGATTCAATGTAAAAAAATAGTCTTCAGTTAATGGTGCAGGGTCAATAGGATATCTATATGCTGACCCCCAAAGGCCTTACTTAATGTCATGTGCAAAAATTAAACAGCTGAAACTGGATATCAGACACCGGTCTGATAGCTGTCAGAGGGGAGGGAGGATAAAGGGACTGGGTGGAAGAAGGGGAAGGGATTACCTAACAGACATATATGCTTAACACACAGACACACAACAGTGTGGTGAGGGCCAGAGGGAAGGAGGATGGGTGCTGGGTGGTGGTGGATAAAGGCAGGAAATGGGGACGTCTGTAATAGTGTCAACAATAAAAATAAAGTTAGAAAAAGAAACAGATCGCAGATTCTGGGAATTGCACATGGACAGCTCTGTTTTTGCTTGTATAAAATTCTCAAGAACCAAATAGGACTCCCATGTATGTCATGGGGATCTGCACCATTAGACTGATCTTCCCTACATAACCACATACCAATTTTTGGCTTCTGCTGAGATGGCTGAAGGGATTGGTAAGTCACACGCATCATCTCATCACTGAATCTTCTGTGACTGACACTCTGACTTTTTCTTACTTCTGAGGCTCCAGCAAAAAGTCATTATGCCACATTCTTGGTCATTCTGCAGAGCACACTTAACCTGACAGTGAATTTCAATTTTAGCATCTTTTTGCAACCTGAGTAAGCTAGCAATAATCCAAACCATAAAGTCCTGATTCCTCTTTTTTTTAAAGAAAACAGTCTATCATCACCAAGCCCTTATTATATGAAATGTTAAAGGGACTTATCTAAGAAAAAAAGAAGTTAAAGAAACATGAACAGAGGGATTAACAACTTATGAGTTATTAACAACCACCTAAAACGAAGCAAACTAAAAGGACAGCTAGATCAGGAGTGGAAACATAGAAATGAAGATCTCAAGGAGGGGTTAGCAACAGGGCAGTAGGAGGAGATGGGGGAGAAGGTACAGAAAATAAGTAGCATAGACAGTAGAAAGAAAATAGATGGGGGCAAGAATAGCATGGGAAATATAGAATCTAAAGGACTTGAGACACATGGTCATAAACTAAAGCGGGTAATGGTGGGGAGGGGGGGAGGAGGGGAATGAAGGGGGAATAGAACAACTGTAACAGCATAATCAATTAAAAATAAAAATTAAAAAAAAAGAAAAACAGTACTCCCCCATGCACTTTATGTTATTCCTCACATTTTATTCTAAGCACAAAAAAGAAAACTGCTGCATTCTTATCTCCTAGAAATCTCTAGAAAGTTCTGCTTTCCACATACCTGCAGAATAGGGTTTTCCTATGCTTTCAGTCATTTTATAATAAGGATCTTCTTCCAATTCCCAAAAACGTGTTTCTTATTTCCTTCTGACCCTCACCAGTTATACCAATTACCTCTACATCTGTGCTGTTGAGGATAATTTATATTTCCTGAGAGAGGATAGGTTTTCTTTCCCAGATCCTTCTCTCCTTCTGAGTCCTTTCTAGGTCTGCAGCATCCACATGTCTAAGGACAAATTGCTCAAGGCCATGTAGTCTTTTACAAATCATTGTATTTAAATCCTTCCAGCCTCTGCTCACTGCACAAAGACACTGACAGATTTTTAGGATTGTTTTATAGCCATAAGGCACTTATCAGAGCCAAAGTCTGTATTATTTCTATATTTCTGCCATAACAATTTACTACAAATAATGGATTAAAACAACACAAATTTAGCATATTACAATTAATGTCAGTAAGAATTCTGTCAATGTCTCCCTGGGATAAAATCACTTTTTTTTAGCAGGCCTTCATTCTTTTCTAGAGGCTGTAGAGGGATAATTTGATTCCTTGATTTTTCCTGCTTCTTAAGGTCCCCCACATTCCCCAATCCCTCCTCTATCTACAGAGCCAGCGATATTGCATCTCTCTGACTGTTCGTCCACAGTCACTTCTTCTTCTCTCCATAGCCAAGAAAGGCTCTCCATTTTTAAAGGGCTATCCAGTATATTGGCATCACCCAGGTAATCCAGGGAAATCTCCCCCATTTCAAGGTCCCTAGTTTAATCACATCTGTCAAGTTCACTTGGCATATGAGCCAACAGATTATAGGTTCCAGGGATTAGGACATAGACATCTTTGAGGAGACATCATTCCATTTAATACAATATTGTAAATTAATAATAATAATAATAATAATAATAATAAATCTCTGTTGATTAAATCTAATATTTCACATTAAAAGTAAGTAAAATTTTATTCACTCTTACTTCTTCTTTTCTTGGGTTTTGGTAAAGCAGACTTGTTGCCAAGATCCATGAAACCTGGAAAATAACAGATGGTGGTGAGAAAACAGAAATGAATAAATAAAAGTTACAGGTCTTGGGATGGCTCATCCTGCAGAATATCTAAGTATATGAGTATAAGGATGTCTGATTTCTTGAGAACTAAGAGTGTGGAATGGGCCCTGGGTCTTGTTTAATTTCTCAACATGACTTTGAAATATACCTTGAATACCTCTGTACTTTGGTTTATGCAGGGATTGTAACAGGTATTCCATCCTGTCCAGGTCCTAAGTTTTAATGAGATGTCAGTGCCTCCTCAGCCGGGTCCCCAAAGAGCAGGACTATTCAGTATATAGGTGTCACCCAGGTATCCTTTTATTTGCACACAAATGCACTTGTGCTACACTTGTGCCATTGACCTTTTATACCAATGAGCTGCTCACCAAATGCATTCTATTTATTGTGTATCATTTAAAATCCCAACAAATTACTACTTTTTATTTAAAAGAAAAAAACAAGAATATCTGAATAAAGCTATTGTAACTGAGAAAGCTATTAGTTATCTTTGTTCTTAGGTTTTTTCCAATTGCTTATTCCCTAAATAGGTATGTTTTCAATGTCCACAGGATTTGGAAGCAAAGGAAAACACCACCAATCTTCTATAACTGAAAGAGTGGTAAATCTTAATGACTCTTCACATAGTTGAAGGATTTGGGACAAAAAGATGTGGTGATGATCATTTCTGTCTCTTCTCCTCTAAAGGAAGGAGATTGCTACAAAATGAAGCAAAGACTCACAATTCTTTATCCTGTATGCAGAATCAAAGATGTCTTGAAAACCAGTAGTTTTTAACAGGTTTGCAGCTAAGTCACTTGGCAGGGAAGTTGGACTTAGCTGTCAGGAGTCCATGTAGAATCTTTAATTTATCACACTTGGTGTGAATTCACACATTTTTTTGCAGAAACATTAATATATTTGAGAATAAGATTTTCCCAGGCACTGCTGGGGTCTTTTGTAACATACAGGATATAAATCACAGCATATTTCTAAAATAATAAAACCTGACTATTTTACATCTGCATTCAGAGGTTTTGAATAAAGGTAACACTCCATGTGATTGTGTAAAGATCCTGAAAACCTCATAGATACAGGGAACAAACTAATGGCTCCCCGATGGTGAAATCGGGGAGCAATGATTATCTGGTCTAACTTTGAGGCTGTTGTAAACATAAATAGATACCCTTTTTGGAAAATCCACATTCAAACATCACTACCTAGGCCAATGTCATGTTGGGAGTCATCTGTCAAAAGCAATAAATGGAACTCAATAGTCATAACCAAAAACTTATTTTTTTCTTTGTGTCCAAATAAAATTTTAGTCCAAAAATAATTAGATTCTGTTGAATTATGAACAGGTTTGTGACAAAATTGAGAAATAGCTGATTGTCCAGCTTCTCTGTTCTGTACAGAACAGGTGCTGCGTACATGAACATCACTAGGTGATCCAGTACTTGGGGGGATGGCATGTCTCTGAGCATGAAGTAAGGGCACCCTGCTGTCCTGCCAGAGCCGTTAGCGATATGTTCTTTTTTTAATTATTTATTTTATATTTCAGAGTTTTTTGTTCATTTCTTCCATCCCAGCCTCCCGCCTTATGCTCCCACCTGCCTCCCATTTCCACCCCTTAGTTCTCATCCCTGTGTCCTTCATATTTGTTCCTCCAAATCCTCCTTTTTTCCCCTTAAATTCCCTTCCCACTCTCCTTGGTCACTGTCCCCTTGTTCTCTATTTCAGTGTCTTTGTTTTTATTCTGCTTGTTTGTTGATTTGTTGTTTAGCTTCCTGTTAAAGGTGAGGTCATATGGTGTCGTCATTCAACATCTGGCCTATTTCACTCAGCATAATGCTTTCCAGTTCCATTCATGTTGATGCAAAGAGTAGTAGTTCCTTCTTTCTCTCTGCTGCATAGAATTCCGTTGTGTAAATGTACCACAATTTTTTGATCCATTCATTTACTGATGGGCACCTAGGTTGCTTCCAACTCTTGGCCATTGTAAATTGTGCTGCTATGAACATTATGGTGCATAGGTTCTTGAAATTGATGTTTTAGGATGATAATCCTAGCAAACGTGGCAAAAAGGCAGCAGGTCGATTTTTATTTTTCTGAGAATATTCCATAGTGTTTTCCATAATGGTTGTACCAGTCTGTAATCCCACCAACAGTGAACTAAGGTCTTTTTCCCACAACCTCTCCAACATTTGTTGTTGGTTGAGGTTGTTCTGCTTTGTTTATGACAGCCATCCTGACTCAGTGTAAAGTGGTATCTCATCAGAGCTGTCTGTTAAGCCTGAATTTAAATGATTTCTTTCTTTGCAGTTTTATTTACTTTTATATTTATTGGATTGATTGTAAGTAGACAGGCAAATTATGTAAGTTTCAGGTGTAGGATTCTATAACACATCATCTGCACATGTGTTGTGGTACCACCACCCTCCCAAGCCACCCTCCTCCCATCACCATTTACTCCTCCTTTACTCTTTCATCTTCCACCTACTTCCACCACAAATCACCATACCGTTTTATTTGTCTATGTAGGGGTTTTCTTTTCTTTTCTTTCTTCTTCTTTTTTTCTGCTTAAACTCTTTTTCATCCAGCCCCCTCCCCATCTGATACCTGTCATTTTTTTTCTCTGTATTTCTGAATCGGTTTCTATTTCTTTTGTTTCTCAACTTTGTTCTTTGCAGTCTTCACAGTGGACACTTGAGAGCAAGTCAGGACAGGGCTCCCACATGTGAGGTGTTCTCTGAAGAATAGGAGCCCTGACCTCAGACTCCTGCCATCCTGGAGCCCAGCGATGGTGGTCCTTACCCTCCTGGTCAGCACCAGTTCTCACTGCAGAGCTCTCCAGCTTCTGGGAGCTTCTCCTTGCATTGAACCCCGAAGATGCTTCAGGAGTTCTCACTGCAGAAAGAGCATACCGAAGGCTCAGTGTGTGGACAAGGAACTTGATGGAAAAAGTTGGGAAGCTCTGAAACACAGAGTAGCTTGTCCCTCCCCCAACCCCCATGACCTCACTGGACCTGTAGGTCCATTTATCATCACTGTCTCTGATCCTGGGTGGAGATACTTTCCTCAAGTGCTCTTCTGTATTCTCTTGGCCTCTTCTGCATTCTGCACTGCATTTTCTTCCTTCCTTTACATGTAGTTTATATTTGTGTTTGTGTTGTAACTGTGTTAATTATTAACTGCTTCTTTCCTAAGGCAGTCTTACAAATTTGGCATTGAAGAAGGCAGATCTGTCACTTGGCTGCTTCCCAGGATGACTTTGTGAAATAGAGTCCTGGCCATCCCCTTAAATTCTACTGTGTTTGGGACATTGACCTCTTTGGTTTTTTTGTCATAGCCACTAGCCTAATTAATATAAAAGTTAAAATATGAACTATCTTAAATTAAAACAAATTTTTATTTTTCTATAAAAGGTACAGCAAAGAATTAGAAGAAATTTTTTTTTGCGGAAAACACTGCCCTTGTAACCATGAAAAGTTGTTATTTGCTCCTACCTCTTTTGCAAGTTTTCTTTCCAGATGTAGGTGACTTACTTAAGTTCATAGATGCTATAAAGTAAGAGGAAGAAAACAGTTATTTGTTAGTAACAATCTTACATAGTCTATGATAACTCACAGAGCAGATAGTGTTTGTGATAATCTTAATTTTGAAATGAGCATCTTCCTCTTTCCTTGAACTGAACCCAGTTCTGGTGCCCACAGTCATAACAGGTTTCTGGCAGGCTCTCCCCTTTACTTCTATATGTGAATTTGTAAATGACCTTCCAACTTTACCTCCAGTTTCCTCATCTGTAATACTGAAATAACCTAGTTACCCCACCTCCTTGTTAAGGTATTTGTGAAAACAAAAGGAACCTGTATTCACAATAGCACTGTGAAAAATCAGCCGAGCCAATAGTTTAAATTTCATTTGTGTTTTAGAGGTAGTTGGCCTTAGCCACTTTTTCCAACAGAAAATAAATGGCAACACCAATGAGTCTATGAAGACTTTCTAAGTTTTGTAGTAATGAAAATATTTGTGAGAAAGTGTGAAATACTATGCTTACTACTTTCTGTAGAATATAAAACATGTTGGTAGAGATGAAGTATATTTTTCAACTCTTTAGCAATAATCGATATGACACTGTGTAGTAAAAAAGACTGTCATTTACCTGCGTAGTGTATTATTACTATGTTGCTGTATCAACTCAATTGATTGGGCTCATCCAATTGAACAACAGTTCATAATGCCCTTTTTTCTTCTTTCATATTCCAATAGGGTCAAAGACATTAAATGCTCAAAGTGATGCCATAGAAGTAATTTAATCAATGCATATGGAGAATGTCAGAATAAGGTTTGTTGGAAAGACAGAGCTCTGGATTTAGGCTCTGAATTTTGTCCAGAAATGCATCTTATCTGGTGCATTTTAGAGTCATAACAAGTGACTTCTTGGTCTTTCCTCCTCTGCTCAATTCTAAGGAGTCAGGGTTATTGATCCCTGCACAGAAGAATAAGATTCACTAGGTGTCTCAGTGTGTGGCCTAGGAACCTATTCAGCAGGAAATTCCCTAATACACTTGCAAATATCTTGAAAACCAATGTATATCATGGCCTTTGCATAGGCCACCTGCACTGCTCTTCTAGGTCATCTGGGTTCGTATATTTGATGCTCCTTTCCCTGTCTCCAGAGTAGAGACAATTCGTTGCTTTGTTTGAACCTGACCTTCCTACACTTCTCTCTTCCTCCTTCTACCCTTTCGATAGTCATTTCACAATGTGTTCATTGGCTGTTTCTTTGTGAGGGGGCCTTGGATATCTTGTGTTGAAGGTAGAGAGCCTCCTGTACACCATGGTGCCCCTTGAATCATTTGCAAGGCTGAGAAATAATCTTTTCTTGTGTCTGAGCCATAGACCTATGTTGGGAACACCTTTCAGTGCAGTTTGCCTACACTGAGACACAAGTCAGAAAGTACACTCCCTAAAAACTGAAGCAAACTTACATTACACATTGATAGATATAACGGGCTATCAGAACAAAAGTATAACTTGCAATATTGTTCTTTTGTAACATCAAGAGCAGGAAACATTTTTATTGGCTTTTAGAATCTTGAATTAGTGTGTTTTCCTGAGTAGACATGTTTGCAATATCCTCTGAGGAAGTAGAAAGGGAAAACCAATCTCTTATTTGTGCACTGAAGAGCTACAGATCTAATGATTACTCATGCTGTGCACAGGATTGAGGAAACCACATTTTGGTAATTATTTTGAGCTCTGGTTTTGCGGAAGCAACACAGCATCTGGCATGCTGTTTTTCCCTTTTACTCCATGAGAAGAGGAAGACCTTGAAACATTTATGTGATTGTGTTTCCTCATCTAGAAACCAGAGTAAGACTGTCCATCCTGCTTACCCCTCAGGGTTGCTGTAAAGGAAAGAGTAAGATACTCTTTGCAAAGGTCCTTTGAAAAGTCACTGTATGTTCATAACTTGCTGAAGAACTGTCAAAAACAATGCTTTGGGTGTCAAAATTCTTATCAATTTCTGCTAACACTAGATAACTAAAGAAATTTGCCCTTGACACTACTCAAAGTTTGTGACCTGATGACAATATGGCCTCCCAATAAAGATATACTTAGCATTCTTTTCTCTATGGAAACCACTGTAAAATCCAACCAACACTTTAAAGAGTCATAGACTTAGTTTTCAAACAAATTCATTACTTTAAGTAGCCTATTTATATTATGTAATCAATAGATAGATGCATAGGTTGATTAATAGGACGTATAAATAAATAGGCCCCATTTTCAAAAAACATAAACATAATGAATTCTTATCTCCTTGGGCATTCCCTAAAGGTTAGCAAAGTGCAAATGCAGAGAACAGAGATTCCAAGATAAACTGGATCCATACTGCAGCATGAACTCAGAACATTGCCCAGGGAAAGAGTTGCCTTAATTCAGGTCCTGCAGC